GGGGGGGGATGAAAGAACAAGCCTCATGTTTGCAGCAACCAAACCAACCTGCCCAATTTTTTCAGGATTATCTTGAGTTTTTGGGACTGTCCTGAGGACTTTCTGAAATGGGATTTTAATCACAACCTTGAAATGCTGGTCCAAGATTGGGGCCAGGCAGCCTCCCAGTGAGAGGATACAGCCCAACAGCACGTGGTGTTATGTGAACCCTGCTCTGCTGCTTCTAGTTTGCGAGTTGCTACGGATCTCCTCCTGAACTGGAAGCAGCACAGCTGTCTGCACTAATTAGCTCTGCCTGCAAGCAGAGGCAGGTCCCTGGAGTGGCAGCTACACTAACTAAAACTGGGAGAAGAGGAGGTTACTCTGGATTCCAGAGGTCTGTGGAGCAGCCAGGACTGGACTGGATCTGGCTCCCTGAAGCTGCTTGTTTTACTCATATCACCCTTTAGTAAGTGCCTCAGCACATGGGCCTGAGAAGCATAAATGGGGCAGGAGAGAATACAGCCAGCCTTAGGGGTCAGAGGCAGTTGCTGAATCCTGTGGGCTGTGGGAGGAACTGGGAGAAAAAGCAAAAGGAGGAAAGAGACTGACTGGCAGGCAACACAGAAACAGGAGGAGCAAAGCTAAAAGGACAGTTCTGGAAACTAAACCCAGGAAGAAATTGTGTCAGAAACCAAAATCAGATATTTCAGTACTCAGTGATCCCCCACAGCAAATGCATACAGTCAACTGGCTCCCTTTCAAATGAGAGAGAGAGCAGTCTTCAGCACGTAGGGGGAAAAAAAAATAATAGGGGTGATTTTACACTTAACGTACAAGCAGCAAATGGCTTCACAAGAAGATGACTTAAAAGAAACAGCAAGACTTCAACTGTTACTACAGTGGTAAATGATTTGAACATGGAGACTGTGTTGTGCAATTTGTTAAGTCAGGCAGCTAAACCTGACGTTGCATTTGGACACCATGGTTTATGGCACAAATCATGCCTGCTGTCCTCAGTGCCTCAGATCCTGAAAGCATTGTTGACAGCCAAGGGCTATGCTTAGTGAACAAAACAAAACGAGATAAACGCTGGGTATTACTAGCAGCATTTTTCCAAGACTAGATTTTTCAGCTGTTAATAGCCATGTTTAATTACTTTAATATTAGTGACAGAAAATGCTGAACTGCAGCCTATATAATTGAAGAAAAAAAATGACAAGTAGATCTAACACAAAAAAGGTTTATGCTTTTGTTTGAAGCATTTTGATAACTGGATTTCCATATCATCTAACTGACCGCCACAGTTTTCTTTTAAACTCAACAGTGATAGTTAAGTTGAAAAAACAGACACGTATTGGTAACTTATGGAAAAAATAAGAAATGTTACAATAGTACAACATGGCTTGCCAAGCAATGTAGGCACAAATGAAAAAGAAATTATGAATAAAGTACTGAAAACCATGGGCAGTAAAAACATGTTGACAAAACACAGCACACCATGAGCAGGGTTTTTTCCAGTTGGTACCTGTCAGCAGTCTG